ACACACACACACACCATGAGAACTGCACGACCTTATACCTTCTCTCACACCTTCGTTAATTAAAACAATCCCGCATAGTGTGTGTGTGTGTGTGTGTGTTGAGGTGAAGATGAAAAACCTATATTTATACCACTGGCGAGTTTTAATCCACACGAGAGAGAGAGAGACCTGAGACCACCACCACACCCACACTGAGGTGACGGGACGTGACATTATTTTTTTTACCCAAGGATAAGAAGACCAGGAATTCAATTAGAGTAAAAACCTCTATTTAACGGACTATATGGAGAGAATAATCCGTTATATCGAGGATCCGTTAGTTGAGAAACCCCCCATCGAACGCATAAGTTCGTTATTAAGAGGGTACCGTTAGATGTAATACCTCCATCTAATGAACTATATTGGAGATGAAATTCCGTTATATCGAGAGTCCCGTTAGATGTGAAACCCACCATCTAACGGTGCCTCATTACATGGAGAGAAGTCCATTATATGAGTAGAAAGTATATAATAGAATACATATTACAGGAGATATACATATAAAATGCTTCTATACTGTATATATAGACATGTTGAAGAAAAGTCCCCATGCATAAAACCTGGTGGATCACGTGTGAGGGTTATTAGCCACCTGAGTTTATTTCACGTGATAATTAAAAACCCGTCTGCTACCCTAACCTAAAGTACCCTACCCTAACCCAACATACCCTACCGAACCTAACCTATCCTATCCTACCCTAACCCTCAGAGGTAAGCAATAGGGTATACAAGTGATCGTGGGCACTTCGTGCCCGGTGAAAGTTTGAACGCTCGTGCTTGGCTAGCGTACAGCGAATGAGGGTGCGCCATGTCCGTAGACTTGCATCGTTTTCCATCGTAAATAAAACGGATAATTAATTCCTTCCCAAAGAAACCATCGACATGGGACCAGGTTTGTTCCACTCTACGAATATTTTGCGATTTTTTCACCAAGTTTGATGAAAAACGATTGTGCTGTTTCGGCTGCCCAGAACAGATATACATACACACCGCTATTCCTATAGTATATTAGATACAATTATATAAATCATCAAGCAAAATAACGTAGTTGTGGTGATGGTAGTGGGGAGGAGGGAGGACTATTCTTCACGTGATCCATTCTATAACACCCACAGACATACCCAGGCATACCCACGGACATACTCACAAACCTACCTACCTCTTCTCAACAGTGGAAGCGTGACTGCAGCAGGGTAAGAGCAGCAGGGGCAACACGCTAATACCACGAAGCTGGACATTGTTGTTATACTCGCTATTATACTGTAACCGTATATGACATCATCACACTGGATAGCTACACCATTAATTAAGGAGCCGTGACCCCGAGATGGTGGTGCGTGACCCCGAGATGGTGGTGAGCGACCCCGAGATGGTGGTGCGAGACCCCGAGATGGTGGTGCGTGTCTCCTGACGGTGCTGGAGTTCCCGTAGAGATAAAAGAGGTATGGTGGAGCGCTTTCTATTGCCTCGTTGTTGTTTACCTTTGTTTGTATACCTGTACTGTTTATGCTTACATTGTTTGTATATCTAACTAAACAGTCTATGTATACATTGTTTATATACCTGTGCACTGTCTATGTAAATTGTTTGTATACCTGTGGTGTCTATTTACAGTGTTTGTATACCTGTGCACTGTCTACGTACACCGTTTGTATACCTACACAACTAAAGCACAATATATACAGCATCCTATATCACAACAGGTAACAAGACCAACACTCGTACATTTACTATGTAATTTCTTTGGCCTACAGCACAGTATATGTCCTGAGGCTGCTCTACCATTTATAAACTAATGAGGTATTTTCTAATATCTTTTTCTTTTACAACAAGGATGAGAGCCACTGGTGTATATAGGCCTATAGATGATCTTTTCTATACGCACGACACTACTAACATACGTACACATGAAGTAAACTTTCGAGGGGTGGTTCAACACCCAGCTCACATGATCTACGTGTGTAAACATTAATCTGTATGTTCACTGTATGTTCCTTCACTTTTCTCAAATGAAGGCTTTTGTTAAACCACCAATGTATGTAATAAGTCATTTATGTCCAATGTATATTTTCAGCCTTCGGGCTGCAAACTTTTTCAATAAACCGTTTATTATTATTATTATTATTATTATTATTATTATTATTATTATTATTATTATTATTATTAAACTTTCTCGAAGGAAGGAGGTAAACTTTTGCTCTGATATTACCACTTCAAGGTTTTATTTATTTATTTATTTTTGTATACTACAGTACACGACATGACACACGCAACAGGGGCACTACGATGCTATCTCTTATACCGCCAACAGTACAATGCGAACTAGCTAGAACACACTGGATCAGTACCTAGGTCACCAGCAGCCCCTCCACACACCTCCTGCACACCACCCATACATACACCCGCTCCTACACACACGCGCATCTTACACCAGCCATACACTCCCATATAACCTACCTATACCATCTATGCATACTCACCACCTAACCTAATCTATCCCCACACACATTACCTATCCTACCTCGACACACACACACACAAACATAACCAAACCCACCCATCTACACCACCCACCTACCTACACCCACCTACACACATACATAACCTAGCCTACCCCCCCACACACACAGAGTAAGCAGCCAGCAGGGAACTCAGTTGTGTCTGAATGAACCCCCCCACCCCTTGTCACACCTTACCCCTGTCCTAATCACCTAATCACCATTCACCTGTCGCCTTCACAATAACCCAGTGGAGATGCCTATCACGGGACGCCAGCCAATCCACCCACTACAATGAACTCTCTCTCTCTCTCTTTCTCCACACGTGACCCCTGCACAGTCAGGCACAACTTCCCTCCGTCACCACCACCACCGCCAGGCACGAGTATTCTTAGGTGTTCACGAAGCCATACAAATTTGACACACACACACACACACACACACACACACACACACACTGAGGGAATGTCAAGCGCGATAATTTGTATAAAGAGAGATCATTATTTATTCACCTGAGGTACATACTGTATATAATGTCTCTAGAACATCATTCATTATCAACAACGTATGTATGTATGTATGTATGTATGTGTGTATGTATGTAATAATTTGAATCACCTGAAGAATCTCCGTCCCAGGTTATTATTTTCACCTAAATATTAACTACCCTAACCTACCCTAACTTAACCTACCCTATCTAACCCAACGTAATGTAACATAACCTAACCTAACCTCATCCCTCCGAAAAAAAATAGTAGTGAAGGTTGATTTAGAAAAGGATAGATTAAGTTAAGAATAGATTAAATGAAATTAGTTTAGTTTAGTTTAGTTTAGGTATAGTTACCTTCCAAGTTAGGTTAGGTTAGATATTCCTTCCAAGTTTGGTCAGGTGAGGTAAGGTTAAGTATTATGTTCGAGTAGTTTTAGCTGTCACAATATTGTTGTAGTAAGTACAAATAGATTATAGTATTTTTTCTCATATTTTAGTACACTTCACCAATAACAACAACAACAATAATAATAATAATAATAATAATAATAATAATAATAATAATAATAATAATAATAATAATAACAACAACAACAATAATAAATCAACACCAGCCATAAAGCGCATCACCTCCCACCCTCCCTTGACAGTACAGTACAGTATCCTTTATCACAGGAGCATCAACCTGAGCCCCCCACCCAGTTACTGTAAGCTACTCCCGACACGTGTACAGACTGGAGGAATCTCGCGCCAGGGGAACACACACACACACACACACACACACACACACACACCTCAGGAGCTCTCTCGTGCTCGTGGGTTGAAGGCCGCCCGTGGAGGAGGAAACACGTGAGGAATGCCAGCAGACGTCACCATCATGACCGAAAGAAGCGATGGTAGGGAGGAAGTGAGAGAAGGTTAACGGATAGTATGAGGTGCGTGAACAGCTATTCCCCAACACACACACGGCACGCGACCTGAGTTGAACGCTGGTGACCTTGGGGAGAAAAGATCATCATACTCGTGAGTGGTGACGTGACTGACTGGCTGACCCCGGGTTCGATCCCCGATATCAACACAAAACCAACACCACCTGAAACTGGAGTCCAGGTTTTTAATGGCTTTATGACCGGGTCGAATTCCGGGGGGAGGGGTTCACGATCAGCCAGTGCAGTTGGCAAGTGGTCCGATCTTCCTGGGTTACACCTTTAAGAAACTCACGCCCAGTTGGTTAGGTCTTAGTGGTGCTGGCCATCCACGAACACCAGGGTCACCCATCATCAATTACTGGGATGGTTAAGCCGTGAGGGAGGTACTGGGTGGTGAGTGAGAGGTACTGGGTGGTGAGTGGGGGAGTGCTGGTGAGAATTGCTGGGTGGTGGGTGAGGAAGTACTGGGTGGTGGGTGTGAGGGAAGTACTGGGTGGTGTGGGGGAGTGCTGGGTGGTGGTGGGGAGATGCTGGGTGGTGGGTGAGGAAATTACTGGGTGGTGGGTGAGGAAGTACTGGGTGGTGTGGGGGTGCTGGGTGGTGAGTGGGGAGGTACTGGGTGGTGGGTGGGGAAGTGGGTGGTGGTGAGAGTACTAAGATTGGTGTGGGGAGGTGCTGGGTGGTGGGGAGATACTGGGTGGTGGGTGAGGGAAGTACTGGGTGGTGGGTGAGGGAAGTACTGGGTGGTGGGTGAGGGAAGTACTGGGTGGTGTGGGGGAGGTACTGGGTGGTGAGTGAGGGAGGTACTGGGTGGTGGGTGAGGGAAGTACTGGGTGGTGAGGGAGGGAGGAACTGGGTGGTGGAGGGAGGTACTTACAAATACCCATATAAACAACTGTGTTCCATAAGAGTAAGTGCCTCATACATTAAGACTGTTGACACCAGGACACATGACACCTCTGTTCAAGCACGCACCCAATGAGGAGAGTGAAGGTAGGAGTAATGGCGGGGGTGGGGTGTAGGTGGCTAGGAGCACAAAACTAGCTAGGGTGAGGTGTGGAGGCAATACCCACCTGAGGAAGATCTGAAGCGCTTGTTGGCGGTGCGTGATGACCCGCGGTGTGAGCTAAACACGAGCACCAGAGGCCGGCGGCTGGTCGACTCCTTCACCACCTTCCCCTTCTTCTTGGCTGCTACGTGGTGGTGGTGGTGGTTGTTGTTGTTAACGTGCACATTGGCCACGTCAAGGGAGTGTGAGGTCACCCCTGGAGTGTACTGGGGGCAGTAGTGAAAATCCTCCTCCACCCCGCGGAACTCATCGATGATGTAGAGGTTATTGCTGGCTCCGTTGTGGTGATGTTGCTGCGAAACTCGTTGTCCCTCCGACCTGCCGCCCTGGCCCGCGTCTCGCAGCTGTGACCCGCCACCACCCTGAGACCGACCGCTCTCCTCGCTGGCCTCGAGCACCAACTCTGGGTCCTCGATCAAGTTCCTCTGGGCGGGCTCGACTGCCTTCATACAGTCGCCCACCACCGACAACACCATCCCCAGCATGCCTCTCTTCTTCCCACGGCCCCCCTTCCAGTCGCCGCCACGTGTGTCACAGGCGTCTACATCAACTCTGTCCTGGTTGCTGGTGGCCAAGGACGAGGACGGGATAGAGCGCGAGGCCACTGAGGAACCAGCCGAGGGTAAAGGTTCCTGTGATCTGGAGGACACCTTCACGGTACAAGACCACGGCGACCCCGAGTGAGTCCGCTGTGTTTGTGGCGGCGGAGGAAGCACGTCGGGTGGCAAATGTTGAGACACAGAGCTGGGTGAGGCTTCCAGGGGCTGTGGGCTGGGTAACACCTGCTGGGAGTGTGGGCTGCGTGACGTCTGCTTGGAGTATGGGCTGAGTGAATCCTGCTGGGAATATGGACTGAGTGACGCCTGCCGGGAACAAGTGCTAGGTGAATCGTGTTCAGAGCGCGGGCTGAGCGACACCAGCTGAGAGTAGGGACTCGGTGTGAGGTGCCGGGAGAACGGGCTGGGATATGCCGGGAACTGGATTGTGCCGGAGTTAGGAGAAACGTTCCTCTGACTGGGCTGGAACATCCAAGTGCAAGAGATGACGGACATATAATCAGCAACATACACACTTCATATACACAACAACAGTATTAAGACACCACGAGAACAAACAATACACGAATACATACACAAAACATACACCAGAGTTAGTTTTCTCCACTATACACAATATCGATAACTCCCATGAGTGGCCTGGAGGGAGGGGGGGGGTAGATGGGGTTCCACAGTTTCCAGTAAGTCAATTGGAAACCCAGCAGGTGGTAGACAAGGATTACTGCCACAATGTGGGGAATCTCCTCTTTAAAGACGTTATAGTCACACACACACACACACACACACACACACACACACACACACACACACTAAACCAAGTTCATATGTTCCTTACACCACGAAGCTTAGCAAAACTCTTCAACCACGCACAGCATCAAACCAATCAGTCATCCGAACATTAAACTCACATAGGTGTCGTGGTTAACACCGCTGGGTTAACTACGCACAACGTAACACCAACCACGCAATACAAACACTACTACACACACGCTAAATCAATACCAGCACTTAATTACCACGTTTGACTCACAAGACACAGCGGCATGCCAACCACGAACCTGTGCACGCCGACCACACACCTATACACGCTAACCACGCACCTACGACTAGCACCGTACATGGAAACGGCAACAGCAAGACTGAAACCTGTCAACGCGGCCGTAACTTCTAAGCAATTACGAGACACACAAGTATATCAATCTGTCTCAATTTAACAAGTCCTCACTGACGACCTCCCCCTCGCTTCACCTCGACCATACGCTCCAGCAAGGCCACATCTCCCCCCTACCTCCTCCTCCTCCAATTGTCTCATGTGTATTGTTGACACGAATCAGCTGACTGGGGCGGTGGAGGGGGAAGAGGAGGGGGCGACAGTCAGCTGAACCCTTACCTGCTCTCTCAACCTCACACGCCACACAACGTGACACACTGACACACAAACATACACACAACACCGCGCAGGTAACTAAGTTTAAAAAAAAAAAAAAAAGTTCTTATAGTGGGATTATTTCCAGGTATACAAGGCGACGGCAGGCAGCTTCTCCGTGACGGTATGTGGTAGGGAGAGTTAAGACAGGAAGGGACACGACGGCGAGGTATGGGATGGTGGGGACCCAAGTCTTGAGGTTGTTCCAGAGGTGTAGGGTGGAGTGGGAGGGTGGATGATGGGAGTTAATAGGGTGGGGGATTGGAGGAGTGGGGATGTTGGTTAGGGAGTGTTAGTGGAGAAAGGGGATTGGTGGGGAAAGTTGGTGTAGTGGAGGATTGGTGTAGGAGTGGGGGGTGGTGTAGAGGTGGGGATTGGAGGATGAAAGAGATAGAAGGTACAGGGACATTTTGGAGGCTGGGGTGGGAACAGGGTGAGAGTGGGGAGGTTGGGGGTGGGGGGTGGTGGGGAGGGGTAGGAATAAATATATCTAATATTATGAGTAGTGGAATAAATGGATGGTGAGGAACAGAAAGGAAAGGTAGTAAACGAGAGAGAGATAGAGAGAGAAATAAGTGGTCAGTGAGGGGAAAGCTTTTGGACACAAGGAACAGGGAAGGAATTACACGACCCTTCACCCTGGCTCAAGCAAAACACACACACACACACACACACACACACACACACACACACTATTTACCCCACATTCAGCACCTCTCTCCCTCAACAAAGTAAACAATCTTCCAACATCCTGCAAAATAAATAAAATAAAAACGACAAAACAGGAGAGGTATGGGGGGAGGGGGAGGGGGGAGGAGGGGGGACACATAAGGTGGCGATCTCCAAGCGTATAATAGTAATGTTCCCCAGTGCTCTGCCCCCCACACACACACAGCCCTCCCTGAGAATGCAGTGCTGGAGGGATGAATCAGCGCTGGTGTATGTCCGGCTGGTCGCTCGCTCACTCACTCCTTGTGGTCGGTGAGAGGAATAAGAGTGTGAACTGGGTGGGTGGGTGGGTGAGTGGAGTGTGTGTGGGTGGGTGGGTGTGGGTGGGTGTGGGTTGGGTGGTGTTGGTGGGTGGGGTGTGTGGGTGTTGGGAGTGTGTGGGTGTTGGTGGGTGGGAGTGTGGCCCAGCTATTGGTGGGAGTGTGTGGGTGTGGGGTGGGTGGGGAGTGTGTGTGGTGGGTGGGGTGTGTGGGTGTTGGTGGGTGGGAGTGTGTGGTGTTGGTGGGTGGGAGTGTGTGGGTGTTGGTAGAGGTAAGGAGTGTGTGGGTGTTGGTGGGTGGGAGTGTGTGGGTGTTGGTGGGTGGGAGGTGTGTGGGTGTTGGTGGGTGGGAGTGTGTGGGTGTTGGTGGGTGGGAGTGTGTGGGTGTTGGTGGATGGTGTGGTGTTGGTGGGTGGTGTGTGGTGTTGGTGGGTGGGAGTGTGTGGGTGTTGGTGGGTGGGAGTGTGTGGGTGTTGGGGTGTGTGTGTGGGTGTTGGTGGGTGTGTGTGTAGGTAGGTGGGGGTGTGTGAGAGGTGTTGGTGGGTGTGTGTGTGGTGTGGGTAGGTGGGTGTGTGGGTGTGGGCAGGTGGGGTGTGTGGGTGTGGGCAGGTGGGGTGTGGGTGTGGGTGGGTGGGGTGGGTGTGTGGGTGTGGGTGGGTGGGTGGGGTGTGTGGGTGTGGGTGGGTGGGGTGGGTGTGGGTGTAGGTAGGTAGGTGGGTGGGTGTGGGTGTAGGTAGGTAGGTGGGAGTGTGTGGGTGTAGGTAGGTAGGTGGGTGGGTAGGTGAGTGAATGAGGGTGTCATGACGTTAAACAAGTCCTTAACACGTCGGATTAAAATACGAAGAGGAGAAGGAGAGAGGAGGAATAGAAGGAAAGGGGAAGATAGAGGAGGATGAGAAGGAAACAGGAAGAGAAAGAGAGATGAAGAAAATATAAGAAGAAAGAGAAGGAGAGAAGTAAGAGGAGAGAGAAGGGAAAGATGGAGAGGAGAGGATGGAGAGCAGAGGAGGAAGAGGCGACGACCACCACACCATATCACCTGGTACTAATTGGCGCGTTTCCATCTTACAGTACAATTACATTAGCTATTGATAAGATCATGGACGGCGACTCAAAGCAGGAATAAACTGACATCCAGTAGTGTTATATTCCTTTAAATCACACACACACACACACCTGGGAGGGAACTACTACACTACGTGTCTGCTGTTCAACACTTCAGCGCACAAGATCTACTTGACCTCCGCTGCAAACATTAATCTGTATGTTCACTGTTTGTTCCTTTACCTTTCTCTAATGAAGGCTTTTGTTAAACCACCAATGTATGTAATAAGTCATTATTGTCCAATGTATATTTTCAGCCTTCGGACTGCAGAACTTTTTCAATAAACCGTTAATTATTATTATTATTATTATTATTATTATTATTATTATTACACCTTTCTCTAAACACAGGCTTAACAAACACCAAAATCACAGTTCAATGTTGTTGTTTTTTTCAAGGGTCACCCAATAGACGTGTCCGGAACATGACTACTGCACTGTACAAGGGAACAAATACTGGTAGAGTACGTGGTTTGAGCTACACAGGTGTCACAAAGATGTTTCAATCGCTCGTGTTTTTTTTTTCACTGGTGCTTTTGCATTTCCCAATATTTATGGTCCGCTACTTTACAGTTCAGTGAGAGAAGACCAAAAAACGAACTTTTCTATGGACACTTTTTTTAAGGGGCTGGCGGACGAAAAACTAAGGTCACATAGACACACATACAGTATATACACAGTACAGTGTGTCCCAAAAGTTAGCTTATCCATCTGACACACCTCGTACACACACACACACATATAAACACAAAGACACGAACAATATATAATTCATTAAAAAATAAACAATAAATAAAAATAAGGTACAACACAGGATAATTTTCCAACCATTATCAAAGATGATGTGGAGTGCATCCACGAAAGGGCGCATAACACACTAAAGAACACGGCCTCACACTTCCTATCCTGACGCACACACCACACTTAAACGGACAGTACTGTACAAACGTTAGGCACAGAGAGAGAGTCAGTGAGTGTCTGTCTATGTCTCCCTATCACCACTACACCACAGTCAAGACGCGGCACTAGGATGTCACACTTTAAGACGTCACAAGACACGGAAGTCACACTGGCCACAAGAATTACACTGGCGAGACGAGAAGAGTGAGGCGATGGTGATGGAACGGAGGTGTGAGCGGAACTGTGACAGGTGGTGGTGGCGACGGGCAGAGGCGGTGGCGGGTCCTCACCTGGGGGAACACCTACAAGTAACTACCACCACCACCGTAAACATGGCCACCTCAGCAGGTCACCACCATGTCTCACGTGTAGTGGTGTGAGGGAGTGCGCGTGTCCTACCCCTCCCCTCCACCCTCACCCACCCACCTATACCGTCTTCCCTTCCGTGTCCTTCCGCCTTCAATATTCAGTAGTTACACCTTCCTCTTTAACACCTGTGACCCCCCCCTCTCCCACCAGCCTTTCTCACTCTTAACTTAAATACGGTAGTTTCTCACATAACCTCTTCCAATGCCCACTGACAAGTGCATATATCCCTTCACCCCTTCCCCATTACCTTTTCTCTCCCCTTCCTCACCTTTACCTCTTTCCCTCAATATTCCCATTCCTTTTACCCCCTCTCCCTATCTAACCTTCTCCCCTTTCTCATTCCCTTCACCTCTCCCACTTCACCTTCACAACAGGTGTTCCCTCTGGCCCCTTCTCAACACTCCTCTTTTATCTCTCACATATCATACCCATAGTCTGGTATTTAGTTCCTACACTCAGGGCTTTAGTACCCCACACACACACACTACATGACCCTAGATGGGAAAGGGGGGGGGGGAGGAGGTCGCTGAACAAACGTGAACTTCTGGAGGAGACGATGATAATGTTGAAGCCTCTCTCTCCTTCAGTGTAAAGAAACAGGCAGTCCGTACACAAACACCTTCCTCCACACACATACACACACCTGAGAGGCTTCTGGAACAAGGCCACACACACACACAAACACTGACCCTAATTCCAACAACTAGGACCTTTAGGTGTCAGCGGGGTTTAGTACAGTAGTTGCATGCAGTTACAAGCAAAAGGTCTTTATTCTTTAGGTCGGTGACTAAGATATCATCGTTTCCTCAGAGCGCGCGCACACACACACACACACACACACACACACACACACACACACACAGTACCATCATGACCACAGAAAGCTCTACTAGGACAGGCAAGCACCATACTCCCAAGTTCACCTTCAGAGAATAGAAATCTCATAAGTCAGAGCAAAACTTAAAACAAAACAAAAAAGTGACTCGTTACAGGTGTCACAAGCCTACAACACCTTTCCAAAACTTTAATAATAATAATAATAACAATATAACAATAACAACAACAATAACAACAACAACAACAACAACAACAACAATAATAATAATAACCACACTAATTAAATTATGATTTTTTAAATGCTGGATAAACCTTATGAAATTCTTACAACTACTCAGTACTGTACATACAGGTATATCTCAACTCGTCAGACAGCTCCCACAGATCAGACACACATGCACACACAGAGGACCTGTAGCTATCACCTGTGAGGAATCCTTATTGGGACAATCTCCTCAAACCAAATCACTCACAACACCTGACTAATTTGTTAAAGTCAGACGGAAACACGTTGAAGCCTCACATGGACAGAGCCAAGGAAACACCTAGCTAATTTGTTTAATCCTCGTATGAAGGGACCCACGGAAACACTTGGCTAATTCGTTAAACCCTCACACGAACGGACTCCTGAAAAAACTTTCTTCTAATGCGGAGCTCACTTAACATACTTCAAGAGAGACAGTGTGATGGAAAACTCATTTACAACAAAGAACAAATTGATAGATGGATATACAATACAGCATGTACTGTATACAGACAATGCAGGTAGTAGCTGCATACTGTTCAGCATATACAAACAAACAAACTCCAAAAAGTATCTTCACGGAAGGGTCTGATGAATTTCAAAATGAACACTGTGACTCCTGTTGTCTCGGTAGGGTTGATAAAATCCTTCGTCTGTTGTCATATTGTCTCACACAAAATTGTAAAAGATACTTTTTGGAGCGAGTGTACAATCAAAGACAAAAGTCGTGTCGCGGCTTTGTCCGAAGATTAAATATAACTCGTGAAACCTCATGAGAGCCCCCTACCACAAGGCAGAGCGCACCAAAAGTTTAGGCCGTCGGCTTATGTTTTCACCAAATTTCACGACACGACTTTTGTCTTTCATTGTACAGTACATACAGTATATAGACAATGCACGTATACAATTCAGCATGTATATAGACAAAGTAGGCATCTTTGTGGTGTAGGTTAATTCAGCATAACCTTTTCCTTTTCTATTTTTAATTTCTCTATTCTTTTTTTTCGCCCCCTAGGCCCTGATGTGGGTCATTGACCTGTGCCCGGGTGGGCCAATCCCCGTAAAAAAAAAAGTATACAGTTCACCATAAATACACAGTGCAAGTTTACAGTTCAACGTGTATATAGACAATCTTTACAAATAAAATAACTAGCTACAGTAAGTAAAGGTCACAAAAAATCTCTTGCGGGAGTACAAAAAAAAAAAATAAATAAATAAAACAGCTCAAACAAAACAGAAAAATGAACGAGAGGAAAACCCACAGAAAAAAAATCACAAACTGGGTTGAACAGAAACAGCAAAATGAGACTCCATCAAAATAAAATTTACAGTAAACTGTCCTGGTTACACAAAGGGGTGAAGAAGCATAAAGAAGAATCAGGAGACTAGAACTCGCACAACAGCTGCTCACAAACAACAAACTTCATAGCGAGACAACTATCCTTACAACTTACCCCACGAACCACAGAATTGACAGAAAAATAAAGAAAAGAACCTTATAAAAATCACTAAATCACAGAAGAAACGGAAAACAGAATAAAAACCCCTAAACGACTTCTGGAATGTAAAAAAAATATGTCTCACTCCACCCATCAAATCTTCCTCATGATCTAAGACTTACACACACACACACTCTAGGCCCCATAATTTATCTTTACCTCACACCCACTTCACCTCTACACTCTGCAACCCTTCAATGCTTTACTAGCCTACTGGAACCTAACCTAACCTAACCCTACACACACAATTCCTATAATATATTCAGTCTCCCATTTCTGTAATAGACTGGTGAGCCAATTCTTGATACAGTACATTAATAGTGATCCAATCTCTCCCAATCCCTGAAATATATTAGTGTTCCAATCTCCTTCAACATGATGCCCCAATCCATTAAGAAATTTGGGATGAAACCCTTTTTTCTGTATACATTGACAGAGTGGGGAACAGGAAAACCAAAACAGGAAAAATTCCTCTCTCTCATCTTCAAAAGTATTCTTCACATCTCACTATTATTTCTTCTTTCTCTCCCACATCTTCTTCCTCTCTAAACTGTTACTTCCAATTGCTCTCTCTCTCTCTCATCTTTCATCAGTAGCTACTCTGTCAATCATTCACCTTATTTTATTATCCCCGGTCTTCCTCCCTCCCCACAGCTTCCAATAACAGAACACATCAACCTCACACACACACACACACACACACACACACACACACACACACACACACACACACACACACACACACACACACACACACACACACACACACACACACACACACACACACACACACACACACACACACACACACACACACACACACACACACACACACACACACACACACACACACACACACACACACACACACACACACACACACACACACACACACACACACACACACACACACACACACACACACACACACACACACACACACACACACACACACACACACACACACACACACACACACACACACACACACACACACACACACACACACACACACACACACACACACACACACACACACACACACACACACACACACACACACACACACACACACACACACACACACACACACACACACACACACACACACACACACACACACACACACACACACAGCCACTCCAGGGGATATAAGCCGTGCAAAGTCAAGGAGAAAAAACACCTACTTTTCTCCCTACCTGGGTTCACTAGACTTAACCCTCCACCACACCACTCACCCCACCTCCCTCCCCTTTCACCACACCACCAACCCCCCCCCCACCACACACCCCCTTCCTCTACCTCCCCACCTCCCCTTTCTCACTCCCACACCCATCACCCCACTCACCTTTCCTCTCACCATACCACTCCCCCCTTCTCACCCCACCACACTGACTCCCCTCTCACCACTGACCTCCCCTCCACCCCACATACCCTCACCATACCACTCCTCTCACCCACCTCTGCCTCCCTCTCACCCACACTCCCCCTCACCACCTCCACCACCTCCCCACCACACCACCCACCTCCCTCTACCCTCATACCTCCTCACCACCTCCCCCACCACACCCCACTACTCCCACCTCCCTCACCCTCCCCTTTCCTCCTCCACCACCTCCACCCCACTGCTCCCCTCTCCACTCCCTCTCCCTCTCACCCCCTCCACCCCTTTCACCACACACAACTCACCTCCCCACCCACCACTCTGAGCCACCCCTCCTCCCTCACCCATACCCACACCTCCTCACTCACCTCACCCTCCTCCACCCCTTTCACCACACACCACAACTCCTCCCCTCACCCCCACCACCATACCACCCTCTCACCTGCCTCCCCTCACCACCCACACCTACTCCCTCCCCTTTCACCACCATACACTCCCCTCACCACCCCTCCACTCCACATCTCCTTCCTACTCCCTCACCTCCTTCACCACTCACCACCCTTTCACACCACCACCTCACTCACACCACTCACCTCCACCAACATTTAAATGAAGTCACTGAGTTCAGGAAAGGTATTGCATGAAAGATCATGCATGGGCTGCCATGGTAAACTTTCAGCTCAAGGGGTGAGGTAGATTAGAGAGTAATGGGAAAAATTGATGTGAGATTAAAGTGTGGGGGAGTGGAGGTGTGTGAGACTGCCATCAATGGAGGTGTACTCAGAATTGGAATGTGGGGGTGGAGGTGTAAACAATTGTGTGGGGCAAGTGTGTGGGGTGGACCTGGAGGTGTGAGACAAAGGACGTGCCCAGGTGGGTGTGCCCTGAGAGTGGGGTGAGGTGCTTGCTGAGGTGGGGTGTGTGGTGGGTGGGGTGGGTGGGTGGGAGGGGTGAGGGGGGTGGGAGGTGGGTGGGGGAGGTGTGGGGAGGTGTGGGAGGAGGTGGGAGGTGTGGGGAGGGAAGGAGGTGTGTTAGGGGAGGGTGTAAGGGAGGGGAGGTGGGGAGGGGTGTGGGGAGTGGGGTGGGGGAGAGGGTGGAGGAGGGGGGGTGGGGGGCTAAATAATAAACACTGGGAGGAGACAGCATGACAAGTTCACTAAACATTTCCTTTCCTTCAAGAAAAAAATGATCTACAAAATTCAATCTTTTACTTAAAAAAAAAAAAAAAACGAAGTAAATCTCAACTGTAAAAGCTAAAAGACCAAACATCAGCAATGACACAGGCTGAATCCAGATGAGGTCACACAGTAGATGATACACAAGTGAGTCATGCATTGGTGTGGAAAGCAGATCAGTATATTGTAGGAGATGGGAGTGTGGATGGCATACTGTACTGGCACAAAAGCAACATACTATGACAATATGTCTTTTAAAAGTTAAGATATTAATATTTCTTTGTGAACAACTTTGACTATGTATTTTTTTTTTTTAATTTTCACATAGACCCAACCACCCCTTTTAGGTACAGTACAGTACTGTATTGTGAAACCTAAAATAACTGTAACCATATTTGTAATTCTAACTACCCTGGACTGTATGTACTTTAAGAAATCACAGTACTGTACTTGTACTGTAAAGTAATTTCACAGTCTAGATCACCTCCAGTATGGGTGTCATTAACTGCCAGATCTATTGATTCCAGCCTAAGTTGCCTATGTGTGTTAGATCAACATTTCATTTTAATTTTCTATTTCCAAATTTAAATTGTATGAATTCTTGTGTTAATATTATTTTTAATGCTTTTATATCATTAACTGCAAAACATATGAAAATCTGAGAGGTTCTGTCGATAGATCACATAAATCTTGCACCTTGACTGTACTGTATAATATTTTGGGATTCTGTTGGCTTTGATATATATATATAATTTTTTTTTCATGATAATTTACTATGTACTATACAAGTCTTAGTGTACTGTAGGTGAGTGGTCAAGCAAAAAAACGTATAGTACTGCAATATCATAAAGTCACTGTACAACTCTTAAGAACTGTTGATTAAAATTGGAAAGTCACTGGTCTAAGATTTACTACACTGTATTAGCCAGAGATGCTAAGCTACTTATTTTTTAACAATACAGGTATGAGTTTGGAATTTCATAAACAAGAAAAACTATAAATGGAGAAACAGTCTTCATTTAGTGTTGAATCTTTTGTAAGACAACACATCAAAATATTAAATACATGCACAAAGGTTACATCAAGTCCTTGGGACAATATTGTGATACTAAAACACTGACAATTATAATGACGGAGAGCAGCATCTATCTTCCCATCTCTGATATCTTGTACTCTTTACGGGCACTCCCTTTAAAGAGACGTTCACAATAGATAAGGAATCTAACCATCTTAATTGATCATGCCTCCACAGCTGACTTCATCCTCCTTTCCCCAACTCCCTGACGAGACCTCTCCCCTTCATACCTTCACCTTTCCTCTCTAGTGTTTGGCTCCCTTCCTCTCACCCTCAGCCTTTACATATATTTTTATGTCTATAAACGTACAGTACACGACACCCACTTATTTTTTTGTGCTCCATATCTAGCAAATACTTGTGCCATACTTGGCCACATAATGCATAGTTACAGGTTTTAAGAGATATGATACTTAGTTACTAAGAATGTAACAGAAATCTGAAAATTGCATAATGACAAGAGTTTGCCACACTTAAGTCAATATTTGGAGATAGTGCAAAGTACTGTAATGGTGAAATATTTTTATACTGTACTGTACAGTCAAAGGTCCCGTCAACTCTCCTGCTATTCCATGAACTTCTAGATTCAGACTCGTGAATCAAAAGCATCCGTGGACAGAATATGCATCAATGTCTACTGCTTTGGGTTTGCCAGACTGAATCCCAGGGTTCATGGAGCAACAGGAATGTGATAAGACATTTGACAGTGACTATACTGTACAGTATATAAAGTTACTGTACTACTTATCAAAATAGATTTTTGTATATTTTTCTGATAAATAAGCCACCATATTGCAGGTGTATAACAGTTTGGAATTACATGTTGCATTATAAATTGAGGCCCTTGGCCATTAACCAACGCTATATTTGTCCCATGGCTTTTGATTACACAGAGATAATGACAACTGGTTTGAATAGATTCACAAATCCACAGAAAACCATTCACAGATTGACAAATTTTCAGCCAGCTCTTATGTGGCGCACACTCTGACCTTAAAAAGGGCAAGACTAAAAAGATACACAGAATCATCTTCTTTTTTCTTAATCAGCAGGTTTCCTGAGGAATCATCTATCAGCTTCATAAGATCAGCCTTAGATGAAGTTCAACCAGAGAAGGGCCCAAACTGTCAAGGATATGACAGAGCACAACATTCCTTGCTGAGAACTCCAAGAGTATAATTCTGCTGAGATGAAACTTTCTACCAATCCCTCGATGAACTTTACCACACAAAGCCTTGAAAAATTCTAAGATATTCCTGATAGGAACAATGCTTACAAGAAATGCAAAACAAATTTCTGCCTTTGTAGATTATACTGGAGCTAATTATAATTTTTATTAATAAATCCATCCCCTTCCAACTGAATAATGAACCGCCTGAAGGGTGTCCTGTGCTTAACTGTGAAGAATTGAAAGGTACAGAATATACTGTACATCCACTGAGCAGCATATGCTATGTGCAGTCTCATTACCCTGTGAGGAGAATTCAAATCACCTCCCCAACTACAAATCCCACCACCCTATGGGCCAGGTACCCATCTGGCAAACAAACACTACCCCAAAGGTTAGGCCGAGTTGTTTACACTATAAGACCTGATATTACCCTTGACACAGTGCGAGTAAAATCAGTGCAATTGAATGCTAATACAACTGAAATAACTTTTGCAAAAGAAATAAATTTTGTAACCCAAATTAAGTAAAAGCTGGAATTCACCTTACTATATAACAGGAAATGTGAGATGACTATATATAGGATGTCAGTACAGTACTATCTAGCTCTGTAATATAGTGGAGCCATCCAAGGAATGCCCTACTGGTAGTGGAGACAGCTGGCCTATGGCTTGTTACTGTAAAACAAGTGTGGCCCATGATAGACAAGGAAGGTCTGTGATGTGCAAGCTGCTGTAGCCCCAATACCCAATCACCTCTCAGTTCTCCGAGGTAATCATCTTTAACATTTTACTGCCATTTTTCACTCTTGCATGGGTTAGCCGCGATTAATGCCAGCCATCACCGTCAAGGGATAAGCTCTGGGATAGAGCCCATAGATATAATACTGTACATGAATCTCCTTGGATCAACAGGAGGCTACAACGACAATAATCCTTACATTTTGTATGAGACGAAGATTATTTCTGTTGTCCTTGTAGATGAATGAAATGCCATATGACGTGTAAGGCAAAATTGAGATGGCTCTGTGACCAAAAGCTACAACGTTCAACATATGAAGTCAACACATAATGTACAATACAATCAAAGAAGTGTAATTAAATGTATTGTATGCCATTATGCTTAACAAGATGGTTTACACTCAATAAAGTAGCACAGTTTCATACAGTCAAAGTCAATCCTCTCACTTTACCTTGTTTGTGGGAGTCGCTGAATATCCGGGAATTGGATAAGGAGAGGCGGCGACTGATTCTGGTGAAGGTAGGAGTAGTCGCTGAACCTGTGAGAAAAGTAAAAAATAAAATTACAGTATACATCAATCAAGTTTTTAATACAAAGATAATTAAAATACATGATGAATGTTGATTACGTACAGGATTTAAATAGGCACTGTACTATAAAAAATTAGACAACAGGGTAACAGACAGAAGCACAGTGCTGTACTGTATTTGTTAATTCACATCACCCAACTTATTTCAACTGATGATTTAACACCCTAACAACATCTGGAGAGGTTAGGTTATGCTAGACTAGGTTAAGTGAGGTGAGGTTAGGTTAGGTCATGCTAGATTAGGTTAACATTATGATGGTTAGGTTAGGTTAAGTCAGGCCATGCTAGATTAGATTAATTGAGGTAAGGTTAATCTTAAGGTGAAATAAGGTGGGGCTATTTATCTTCAGGTAGTCCATTCATTGTTTTTAGCCATTGAAATTAGGCAAGAACAAAGTCACTAATGTAAACTATGCTGCTGTAAGTAAAGTACAATAAGCCATCACTAAATTTAAAATGGGGTAATATTCCTTATGTCTTAATACAAAATTTTTTAAAGAAAATTTACTGAGCACCTGAAAATTAACCCCTTAATACTACCTAGAGATGTTTTGGTTAGGTTAGTTAAGGTGTTTAATCCTCATGTAAATTAAGTTGGGGTATTTAATCTTCAAGTGATCCCAATTTCCATTATTCAGGCAACACTAATGGTTTTAGGACATTTTGTCACCAGCTAATTCGTCACCAATTCAGTATAAACTTAACCTAACCTAACCTAACAATGGCTTCATCACCTCCAAAATAAAGGCTTTATAATCTAAATTTAATCAATATAACACAGTATTTAATAGACCGGTGACAAAATGTCCGCCCACCCACACTAATGCAGGCCTTTCCACTGTCAACCTTACAACAGTATCCCAAACAGCTAGTGCACACCATGTTCACACAGCCAGTGATCAGGACAGTGAGACAGAGAGATAGTTAGGAGTTCTGTAGCTTACTTGTATGAGCCTTCATACCCTCGTGGAAGCTGGCTGAGGAGGAGAAGGATACTAGCTATAGCCCTGATATGACCAAAAAATTGGTAACACAAACAAAAACAACTACTGTAGTACTAAGATGGAATTTAGGGATATTTAGAAGATTTGTTAAATCACATGAAGATTATGACCCCCAGCTTATTTCCCTCACACTACTTGAGGATGAGATTAGAATCAATTACTTTGGGTTAGCATTAAGGTGAAATAAGTTAGGGGGACTAATCCTCAGGCGATCCAAATTCTTAAATATGATGGATGCACCATACATAAATACCGGTAAGATAAAAGATATTTACAACAGGTTAGCCCAAGGCCTTATCAAAATTAATACAGTACAGTATCTATTATGTGTGTGTATGCAGTACTGAATTAGACAAAACAGATCTTGTGAAGATTAGGGACCCCTGATTAAACATCTTCATATACTAACATCATAACTCTTTTAGCAATACTGTACAGTGTTTAATCATCACATGAAACAAACGGGTTCCTAATATTCATGATAAAAAAAAAATACTGTCTACTCTGGTATATCTATTAAAAGACTATAGTAGCTATGTTAAGATCCTGAACAGGTCACTATGTAGCTATACAGTATATACAGGTCCTACCATGGTAGCTAATATTTAATGTTTACGCCTGCAGGACAAGACAATGAATAAACAGTCCGGCAACACAGGAATGCAGTCAATCATTCAGGGTTTGCGACGATGTGGTTTGGTGACATCTTTCCACGTAACCAGCAACTAACTGTACATACAGTCTATTAAAATACGGTGTCTCCTAACCCCAAAAGGAAATATATCTCAGACACACACACACACTTTATATACAGTATAATACATAGACTATACAACAGAGTAGGTCTAAGCATGGATATAAGCATAACAAATCACACAAACACCCAATGTAGGTCTTACTTGAGTTAGCCCATTCTAGATGCAATTCCCACCCAAAAAATCTATTTGATTATCAGAACAATAGAACACACATGCTTAGTTACACCCCTCCCCCCCACCACACACACAGACTTGCTGACTCTGCACAACTGACCAATCTCAAAATCATAACAATTGGAGAGGCATAAAGATGAAGGATTGATACAATGAGACATAAAAATGGCAACAACGTCAACAACTGAGACACTAAAGATATGCCATTCATAATTTTTTTTTTTTTGTACAGGCAAGATAATTATTACACTACCAGCCTTTCCCTGAACTTCCTGCTGCCAGTAATTAAATTCAATAAGTCATGATGTCATTTAAGGTACGGTAGTATTTTGTAAGGACCAACTCATCAGAACACTAACAGAACAAGCAAAAAAAAACTGTGATCATTAACAGAGTACAATAAGCTACAGTAAAAGCAAAATGAGTAGTTACAGTAACACAAATAGCAAGAATCACCTGAAAAAGAAGCAATGCAGCTTACTTCACCTGATGATAAAACACCCTAACACTACCTGGGGGGTTTAGGTTAGGTTAGCATCAGGGTGTTTAGTCATCAGGGTAAAATAAGGTAAAGGTGCATAATCTTCATATGACCTAAAAAAAAAAATTAATAAATCAGGAGAAATAAACTAGGGTGTCTAATCTTCACATAACCAAAGAAAATTTTTAATAAAAGACTTTTTACTAACCATTTTCCCTTATTCCTCCATTTTCTTCAATGGTGAGGTGCTCCGCCAGTTCTGTCAGACTACCATCGTGAAACCTGGTAAAGGTCTGAGACAGGCGCCGCCGTATACGTTTCAGACTCATTGTGATGAAGCACTACAAATATTTTTTCCGAATATTCTCTATGTACCGTATTTGGGTCCTGAAATGAAAGGCCCCTCACTGACAGCCAGGAAAACAAGTGTCTCTCTTTTCTGTAAAACACTTCTCTTATCACTTCTCCAGTCAGGTTGGTTCACAATAATTGCCTCACTCTACACCATATCATAACACCACACTCAGGTAGCTATCTTTATTGTAAGCTCTTTCAAACAGGTATATAATTGTTACTATAGTTAAAGACTAATACTGTTCTAGATAAAATAGTCACTTTGCAATCACAATAATTTTCTCACAAATGGAATGGAAATTTCACTATAGTTCCACTAGTCTACTACAAAAATATCTACTGTACATATATTTAGGTTCACAAAATATAACTATTGTACTCTCGGGGATATTTTCTACATCTAACTTGGGATATACAAATCACTCTTCTAATAAAAACTTCACTATTTTTCAACACTATACATGCAATTTAGTAACACTCTTCAGTAAGGCACTGGAGTATGGTCTGGAAGCACAACCACAAAAATTTTCAACTTAGGTAAAGTAGGTATGTATATAAGCTCTTCTTACAAAAACTTGTTATTTTCAAATATATTAAGTACACAGTATAAATACAGTATATGTATATATATAATTATCTGTTTCAGTTCAACATTGATTCAGTACTTTGTAAACTCCACATTTATGAAGTATTTAAAGTTATCACAAATGTTACTAATCCAAACGCACAAGCAGGAAGTCCTTTACTTTCAGTACCTTTCAAGAAACCATCCTATTCTTTCTGCAGCCTCACAAAACTACTCTCTGATCATGGATATTCCAGATACAGTATATGTAAGTAAAGCACTACTACTTTCTGCTTCTGCAGCATTTCATTTCTAGACTTTTCAGAAGGTGCTCCTCAAGACACCATAATGGCAAAGTGAGTCCCAGCAGGTGCGGTGACCATGGCATCTGGGTACTGGAAGCTTCTGTTTGTCGCACTGCCACATCACATCTGAAAAATAATCTAACTTAAATAAGTCATATCAAATAACAGCTATCTGTATCTTAGCATGAATTCTGTTGGCATGCAATATTATTGTACTGTACAGGATAGTACTGTACAGTATGCACTGTACTCGTCTTCATGGCACCAGGTAAGACAGCTCCCTCAGACAGCTACACTGGCACATACAGTAGCAGCTAAGCTCTAACATGCATAAACACTCACAAAACAATACGAGATGAAAAACTCTTACCTAAAACAACACCATCCACTACATGGCCCAACACACCCAAGAGGCAGACATTTGACTTACTTCTAAACAAGAATAAGTCAAATAGAAATGTATTTTACCAGGAACGATGGTGACTGAAGTACAGGCACTGTTAATGGTTCAAGAAATAGCCAAAAAGGAGCAGTTTATACAATATAAAGCATGAACAACATGGCCACACTTCATTACTTCCACATTTAGAGGGCAAGCTCTGACCTCTGATGTATAAACAGTAAATGAGAAACTACAGGAAGTAGAGCTTTTCCAGCTGAAAATTTGCAAGTGCCAGTCAGCCTAAGGATATTGCCTCCTACTAACCTCAGAACTAATACCTTACCCATCAAAAAGAAGACACACCATGGTGGACCTCAGAGACGTTCAAAATCCTGAAAGGGGTTAAAGACGTAATCCCAGATCAAGTTTTCGAGATGTCAAGTGCCACAACCAAAAAAGGTCACAGCTTGAAGCTAAATTGTCATGCAGAGCAAACAGAAGGATGTTCTTCTCACAGAGTGTAATAGACCAAAGGAACAGTCTACCAGTCCAAGCTGTGGAATCAAGAACAGTACCTGCACTGGTCTTCAAAATAGCCTTCGACAAAACTCTCAAGAACAATGGAGGAATCCTACACAGGTCACTGGCCTCCTTCCCTCGGCATGGAGACCTCCAGTAGGAGGACATTAGGTAAATAAGGTAGATAAAAAAATATCTCAATATTTCCCACGAGAAATAAGTTCGTAAGTTGATGATTTCAAAATTTACCATAATGTTTTCAGACATCCTCATTAATTCATAAGGTAAAATTATATTTTACTGTATTCCTTAACCCAATTCAAATGCAATGTAACTGATGAAGAAAAGAGCCCAGAGCCAATAGCATACTGAACTTATACAGTACTGTAGTTGCCACGGCCACCTCTAAGAACTAAGGTGTTAGTTCTTCCCTGAAATTTAGAAACACATTACTGTACCGTACTTTTATCTACTCCTGAATCAGTTATAGATGATTCTATTAGATTACAACAACTTGACTTCAATAATATAAGATACTTAACCTAGAATATTGTACAGTGCTCCCCCCAAGTACACAGGTAATTGGTGCCAACAGAGTGGCACGTCTTAGGAAACTGTGTACTGTACTTGGGTACTATAAACTAATGGGAAAAAAACAATTGGTTCCGGGACCCCTCCAGATACACACCATGAACCCAAAACTAGTCTTTCAAAGCACATTTTCTGCACATAACCTCTATGAAAGTTACCCTTAGTTAAATATGTGTACCTTAGTTGTATAAGGTGAATAATAAAACAGAAATAAGCCCTTAAATAAGAAGAATAAAGATTTTCTTGCCATTGTCCAGCCAGTCTAATATCTCCTTCTTCCGTGCCAGGGTCATCGACTTCACTTTTCTGCCTGGCTGGGCAGAAGCTGGAGTCCCAACACCAGTAGGTGGGGTACTTGGGTAGCCATGGTAGCTGTAGCAGCCAAAAACACCTCAAAAATACAGGAAAAAGCAAGCTGCTATAGTGTCTTGAGGAGAGGACTGGGACTGGCAACCACATCGTTAGTGATGTCACGGCCAGGAAATGGCATTTTCGTCTCTTATTGGTTGTAGTGGCCACTCAGTCAATCGACAGCCAGCTCCTCTGATCACTTCCTCTCTCTCTCTCTCCCTCACTCGGCCATGCCTCACGGAAATTAACACCCACATACTTTGGAATTTGGGTTGCATGGCATTGACGCATGTAGTTGGGTTCCGCATGGTTAAAATTCGTGTACTTGGGGAGAGCACTGTGTAACAGTGCAAGCAAATTACCCAGTCACATTACAAATGTTTCCAAAATTGCTACAGTAATTTAGTGATGCCTGTCCCTAATCCAGCCTTAAGTAGTTTGTCTCATTTTTAACTTCTCAATTCCTCTCGGTGATGAAGTCAAGACCACAAACGAGACCATTCACAATTTCACCTATATGGGTCACCTGAAGATAAGCCCTGAAGTGCTCATCTGAAATTTTGCTGCCCCCTAGCTTAACCAACCTGAAGTTTTATCACCAAAACTAACTGAGGGGGCTAATCTACAGGTGAGCCATAAATGCTAAAATTGTGAATAGTCTGGTTTGTGATCTCTGCTTCATCACCGATTCCTAAATACCTATCCGCCTTTTAATCTGAGCCTTAACCTCTTCACTACAGGGACGCCAATTTTAACATTTTATTTGGCTAAAGACAGACGATTCTATTCAGCAAAGAGGCCCATACACCAGGGGTTAACTTGTTCACTACTGAATGCCACTTTTAATATTTAAGTTAGCTAACCAATAAATTATAACCCTATATCCTTAACAATTAAAACCAATGAGCAAGTTTGGAAATAATTTATGGAACAGCAAATACAGACATGCCACTGCCTCTACTGCTGCTCTGCTCTGGCAAATATAAACAAACCATCAGAGAACTATATTGGATCTTCTTACAAACAGCACTGAGCACCAATATAACTACAATGCCTCTTTCTGGCAACACTCAGTACTGTACAGTATTTAGTTCTATTTAAAATCAGATAATTCAGAAGGTGGGTTTTTTCACTCACCGGAGCCACAGAGCAACAGTAGCAATAGGATACTTACCTGGTACTACTTCATGGTTTCCAAACTTGCACAAATAATAAATATCAGAGAGTTTTGCACTCCATTTCTGCTTACATTCCATAAAGGTGTTGCCTTGCTTAGCATTACATTAGCATGATATTAACATAAAAGTAGTTCATCAGAATCGTCTTGATAAACGAAATAAGGTACTGAAACAAAACACGAACAAATTTTTAACAGGTCTCCTCCTAAGACGATGTATATAACCACCGCTAGTATTACTGCAGTTTCAGCCAATACATGGACAACTGTTTTAACCATCCCCAACCTTTAGATCTCCTTATGTGGAGTATTTCTAACCCCATTTCAACCAAGTGACAAAAAATAATGTCAGATTTTTTTTTTAAAGTTTTCCATACTTGGGGGGTAACTCTAAAACGGGTACTTCCCCCCGAAAATAATGCTCAAATTCGATTAAATCACACCAAAATACAGGTACACAGGAAAAACTAATTTCTAAACTGCAATTTTACCTAACAATGCTGCAGCAATTTTAAAAATGTACTGGATATAGGTACAGCAACTGTATGCCAAAAATCACACTGTATTCTTAATGGTTAGATTAGGTTAGGTTAGGTTGGGTTAGTCAGAAAGAAGGCCATCTTGGTAACTATCATTGTATAGTCTGGCCACGACTCATGCACATTAGGAGCGGTAACCATAGACATTGATGTTTTACATATGGCTGCCGTACCTATATCCTGTGCTATTTAAAATAGCTATCACTGAACTATGATATTAGCAGGAGTGGACCATCGAGTAACATAAATTGTACTGAAGTTCAACAGTGCACATTGATTTGTTCCGGCTAATATCAAATGCAATCACTAACTCCTTTTTTTAATTGCCAAAATACCAAATTCACATAAGTAATTGAACATAAACACTAGATTATTCTGTTCAGTAACATTCACAATCCCAAAACAATTCTGAACTACTTTTTATGTCATGTTTCTTGTAAATTTACTGGAAAAAATGGCAGAGCACTTCTAGAATCATTTATCATTCATCATGCACTTTTCTTTTAAGTAGTTAGCCAAAATATACTATACCATTAAAAACTATGCAGTTACACTTGACATATACTGAATATATTTGCTGGTCTGTTAAGACAAGTAAATACATAAGGTTAAATATCATTTTAAAATTTCAGTACGGCAGATTCCACCTTTCAATGAATTTATTCAATATTTATAATTTCTTAAATAACAACACTAGTTAAAAATCACTGTTGATTTTTTCTTACAACACACAAGGCTCCACAAAAGGTTCAAACAATGTCTCTGAAGACCTGGCTGGTGAGCTCCACAATACACACTTTGAAACAGCAAGAACATGCCATGGGCACTGGGGGAGACTAATGAATGACAACACTGAGTGGCATGAATGACTCAAATTGAACACTAGATTGAACCTGATTTCCCGTACCTCCACCGGTGCTACAATAGGAGTCTTCACCTGTACCTGTGCCTAGGCCCACTGCTCACCGAGGTCCTGGACAGCATACACAATCTTATCTAATGTCTCAAGGACCAACTCCATGAACCCCGAGCTGCTCCGGGACCCGTCCAAACCCCCATTAACTTTCACTACCAATGGTATTTGAACGTAAATATCACCCACAGACCTACGATGGACACACCGTCATAACACCTACACTCACAACAATGACACCGTAGCATGCCGTAATAATTTGTGGAGGAAGATAACAACTTACAAAGTGGAGTGAGAACAGGTTGTTTTTGTTGATTGTGGCAGCGCCGGTGCTGACACCTGTTGCCGGAGCTGGACACTACGGCGTGAAGGTCGCCCCACACACCAACACATTTATCACCTTATATTACAATTATACCACTGCTGAAATATTTGACAATTTCACTCATTTGAAACATTTTATATTACTTAACTTAAGTGCTGTGCCGATGAATATGAAACTCACTTATAATAATAGAATTATATGAATTATTGGCAAGCCAATCGCCTCTAAACCTGAGGGAGGGAGAACTGGGGCGGGGCATCGGGGCACTCATCATAACGGGGGAACTCTCTCCCCATTGAAGTAAGAAAAAAACGGACACACGCTGACCTCATTTGCCCCACCCCATATGACCAGATGTCTCAATGATCAAGGTTAAAACCCTCTATATTGGGTGAAATGGGTATTACTGAATAATTACCGTTTACTGGAGAGATTACAGGCAATTATGTCTTGGTGACCGAAGCTTATCATGAATTAATATCACCAACGCTTGAAATGATTTTTGATACCACATTACATATAACTATTATCAACCGCATGACTAACTTATAACTGAATTTTGTAACATGCTAATAGCCTAGGTGCCTATATGCCTGTGTGTGATGTCATATTGTCACGAGGGTACGAAATCTTATCAGATCTTAGAGGATAAGTAATTAAATAATAATCATATAGAACTCTTCAGTAAAGGTTTATTATTTGACTGGTTATTTAAGGCTTGTAATATAAGTTCTTATTATTGTAACACAATAAGCTACTATTACCAACGGTTGTCTTCGGCTTTTGCTTATTCAGGGTAGCAACTGCTTATTTACCTGATTTGTTCCCAGCACTGAAACTGAGAGGGATTTCATTACTCTTAAAAGGCAATGTTTTTTTTAACAGTTTAATTTTGGTTAATTCTGCGATAATCATGCATAATGAAAAGGGTAGAAAATAGCCATTACTTCAGATGAGTTATTGCAGAGCTAGACTGAGCCAATGTTCAACATAGTCTTCCATGTAGGGCGAACCTCGGCAACACCTCTCACACGCACAGCCTGGCCCTGGGTACCTCACCATCATCTCTCACACTACTCAACTACATTTTCCTTCAACTTATTCTTCCATGTCACTTATACTTACTCTCACATAAATCTCCCGGTTTCATATGTTTCCATGTTAACAAGTCATTTAATTCCTTTCCCAGCGATATTAATTTGCGCTTCAAATACTGGGCGTTACTGTCGATTTAAGCCACATTTGTGCTTTGTTCTGATCACGTCTAAGGACTAGGTAAACTTTAGTACTTTAACCGCCCCCGTCTTTGCACCGAGATTAAGTTAGCTTTCCCATTCTAACTACTACTTCCTCGCTGCTCGACTCGCAGCTTGTTCTCCTCCCCCGTTTTTCTTCCTGGAAATTATGAAGATACTTTAATTGCTATTTCAATAAAGAACCATTACCATTCTCATCTTAGAAACAAATATATTGCAGATTCTCAGAATTTACCAGGCTTACCACGGTCAAATTTACACGAAATGTTTAAGTGCAGCGATGTGGGTTCATTATTCCTGCATTTGTAATGCAGAGGTACAATAGCTAAATGTTATAGAAAACACCGAAACAGAATGCAGGTACAAGGGGCACCTGGAGGAGCAGAAAAAGGGGAACACCTGCCTCTTTTCACTTTTGGTCTCAACCTACCACGTCACTATATTCGGTCGTATATCACACACTCTCTCTTATGTCTCGTACACACAGCCAACACCACACTCGTACCCGTGCCTTGTTCCTCCCTCTCTTATCGGGGCTATTCCAGACCCCTTCACCAGTCCACAATTAATATCCAAACCAGACACCTCTAAAACCATCCACCTGGTGATTTGGTTCGGTAATTCACATTTTTGGCCGGATTAGGTTATTTTAAATTAGGCTTAGTTATTCTAAGTTAGCCTTGCTTTAGGGTGGTTAATCTTCAGGTGTAATGTGCTGGGGCGAATTTTCAGGTGATTCTAAATATCTTCTCTTCACGTAACAGCTTACAGTTAGTTCCACACACACTTGTAACAGCCCCATTAACATATCAATACATGGTGTGAATGTGTCCTTACTCCATGATACTGTCAGGAGTTCCTACAGCAAGCCTCTGATCATAATGCTCCAGTCAGAGTTGTGAGTGAAGGAAGGATGGGGACGTGAGTTTACCTCTGTCTGACATGGTAAAAGCAGAGGATTGACAGTTAGTGAACACAGATAAAATTCATGTAGCTCCTGCAATGTTAATTTAGTGTGTGTGTGTGTGTGTGTGTGTGAGAGAGAGAGAGAGAGAGCTACGGGGGAAGGTCAGCCACATTGGGAAGCAACGAGAGGTTACTCTTTAAAGGTCTCGAAGCTTAAGGGTTCCAGGCTGGCCAAAAGTGTTGCAAGTCCCAAAGATATAGTGCCTGACTGCCCGTGTGTGTGTATCAAGAACAATATCTTTTGGTCTCCAAATTTTGAACAGTAGTTGCAACGATTGAGTATGTATAACGTAAGCCTCCTGACATACGAGACCCTGATTCGATCACAGGATATTCCCATTATACCCATGGTCTAAATACACTTGGCCATTAGTTTACCCAGCTGTATATACTGTAGGTACCTAACTTTACAGCTGAGGAGATGAAGGCGGTGTCGTGTGCAGTGTCGACCACGCTCTCTCGCGTACCGAAGGTTAATTTAACAATGTGCTTTTTCCACACTGTCCTTAACGGGCCTCTGTAAAAAGATTATATAAGAATAAAAACACTGTAACAAACACTTTTATTATTTACAAACGTTTCTATGATATCAGATCTCAACCGGCTCCACAGGTATGAATGTATTACACAATACTGTTGTTCGACTGAATACAAATTATCAAAGAAATGTAGCAACGACTGTAATTGTATTATTAAAAAAAATATAATGATATAAAATATGATAAACGAAAACATATATTTGTTTTCATACACAATAAAACATGATGTATTGTCTAATGGTAGACCCTGCTGCCATATGGCATCACGAAAATTTTGACCTAGTCCCAGGTTGCTGATCTGACTTTCTGCCTCATTTACACACAATTGCAGGGTCTCAATTGTTCCTCTTACTATTGACAACACAACATACATACTCTTGTGCATTATGCAGAAGACCCGACAGCAGCACCCTTATCCACTACCTCCTCAGATGTCCCCACACACAACGCTTCCGTGACGCCTGCTGGACCACCACTCCACGACCCCCTGACGGAGACACGATGGTCCTCCCCATACTGGCCAGATATTATGTAAATAATATTGATATTGTGTTCAAGGAATATCCTTCCTTCCTTAGGCTTTAGTAAGCCCCTTTATAATATTTATACTGTACAGTATATACTTGTCACACTTGCCAGATGCTTCTGGTGTCATTGTACAGGGGTACCTAGTGACAGCACTAGGATCCCGCTTCCTCTATTAAGGAATAAACAATTGAAATTGAACATACATATATTTTCTCACTTTTGATCTTTTTTTTTCATTTTGTATGTCTATATGGTTCTTTATTATTATTATTATTTTATTTTCAAATTTGTTTTTATTTTATTATAAATTTAATTTACTATGACTAATTATTATTATTATTATTATTGTTACATTTTCGCCCCCAGTCCCCGATGTGGGTCAGTGACCTGTGCCTGGGTGGGCTAATCCGCGTAAAAAAAAATACTGTATAATACTATTTCAGGTGCGGATCCAGGAATATCAATAGGGGGAGGTCTAAGAAGTTGTGGGTCAGGAAACGGGGAACACAGCGAGCCCACCCATTTTGAGGCCATGTGCACTGGTTATTAGGAGATATTCTGTGATCAATAGCAATTATTTTTTACTAAACAAAATCACCTGAGTGCAATACTGCATTAAAGAAAAAGTATTGGAATTTTCTGATGAAAAAAAAGGGTCCGGACCCCCTGGCTCTGCTCCTGTATTTAAGATGTAAAATACTCTCACGCCGAGGCATAATTTGGTATTCTAATTTTTGTGAACTAGGTGTTTTGATTGTTTTTAATCCCAAGCAGCAGTTATTTGGGCAAATTAAGGGAGACGTTCTTGTATATATTGATGTATTACCTATGTAAGAATTTTCTGTAATGTTTTGCACCATTTTTGTTATGCTTTACTTCTTATTGTAAGCCTCGATCTAAGTAGAACGTTCTAGAACCTCCCAGGCGTCTTTGGGTGGTGCTGGGATGTGTGAGGGGCGTCTGATGATGTATATAAGCAGTAGAGTGCGGCTTAGTCAATTAAAAAAAACACGAAGTAAGAAGTATAATAAGCAGCACCATATAAATAAACCAATACTAACACAAAGGTCTGACGATCCGAGAGAGGAAAAGAAAGATAAAAAACAATAGATAAGATGAAGCGATCTGGTTGAGCCCAGATTATTTCTACTGTATTTCAGTTTCACCACTTTTCTTCAATCCCTAATAATGTTCTTTCACCTCATAACTCATGACTCCAATGCCAATAGTCAATCAGTCGACCGTTTCTGCCCAGAGTGTAAAGTGCAAGCCTAGTAGTGACAACTTAAGATAATTGTTGTGGAATTGTTGTGAACAATATAAAAGTAAAAAGACCAAGGAATTGTTGTACACCGGTAGTGTTCTGACTATATGTTTGAAGTGAGAAGTCCAGCTGTGAAGACATTACCCTGTTAACAGAAACACAGAAACAAGTGTGTGTCTGAGACCTGGTGGAAATGTAACTAACTGCCTGTTGTTGATCGTCGGGAAATTATCTGAGACTGGCAGGACAGCCAGTGGTAATTCGACACTTGTGATATATCTACTGCTTCTGCACATACGTCCCTGACCGCTGGTAGCCAGTGGTGGAAGCTGGGTAAGCAGTGAAAGGAGGGTCGTAACAATACAATAAAAGTGGGAATTTGTTTCAGAAATTCAGATATCCATGATTTTTTTTAATGAAACCTTATAGACAAAATAAATCAACTTGATACAAAGGTAAAAATAAACTATTTGTCAATTAAAGATAAGAACATGATGAAATTACCAAAATGTTACGTGGATATC